GAAAGAAAGAAAGAAAGAAAGAAAGAAAGAAAGAAAGAAAGAAAGAAAGAAAGAAGAAAGAAAGAAAGAAAGAAAGAAAGAAAGAAAGAAAGAAAGAAAGAAAGAAAGAAAGAAAGAAAGAAAGAAAGAAAGGAGAAAAAGAAAGAAAGAAAGAAAGAAAGAAAGAAAGGAGAAAGACTTTAAAGTGGTTTGAACATAAAAACAAAGGACTAATAAGTCAACCCCGAAAGAAGTTGTCCACAAAGGCATGCAGTATTTGAAAACAAGCTTCTAGAGAATTTACCAGAGTGTGAAAGAGTTATGCAAACATCCATTTTGGCTCAGAGCTGTCTCAAGTGTGTGATAGGGCTGTGAGCATTTTCTCTGAGACAAATGTGAGTTAACTTTTAGACACCCCTCCTCCCAGGGACAGAAAGCTTTATCAGTCATGAGATTCCAGTAACATGGTAGGAAGACTCCTACACACTCATTGTTAAATGGGCTGTACCTTTCCCTTAATAGGAAAAGATCTCTTGTTTTACAAAGACCAAGGCAGCCCTCTGACAGGAAGGGCTCCTTAGTGGTGAGCTCAGTGACTGCTGATCTTTTGTTCTTCAGTCTCCTGAGCTAGAGCAAAGGATGTGGCTGAGGTAGGAGGTGGGGACTATGCATATGTGTGTGTATGTGTGTGTGTTCTCATTTCCGCTTCCCCTTTCTGAGCTGGCAACAGCAGTTTAATGAGGACAGAGAGAAAGGTACAACATAAGATATGATACTTTGTCACTGTCCTCACTCAGATCCGCATACCTGGGAAGGGCTTGGCCCTGCTTTGCCAACCACTATGCCTCAAACTCTGCTCTCTACCTGCGGACAGGTGAGTATAATTTTCACCTTAATTTTAAGAACATACTGATTTGGGATGGTGCCGGGAGATAGGAGAAAACAGGCAGGAGAGAAATCAGGTTGCCAAGAAAAGGGAAAAATCAGGAGAAAATCTCCCACATGCCTCACTTCAATCCCTGACTGTGCCTCTCGGAACAAAAAGGACCCTTTACTTTTTTTTTCTTCTTCTTCTTCCTATTACAGGAGAGGTACTCTATATAGGATCACAAAACATGGGTTCTTTTGATGGTCTGAATTACTATTTAGGAACGTTACACCTTTTTCATGTGGCAACTTCCTCTCTGTGTCTTGCTATGCTCCCTTGTGCTGTAACTTTGAAAGGTTCTCAAGGAGAAGTTTCTCACTTCACTGCAGATCCCATTCTAGTGCTCGTAACTGTGAACTAGTGGGAACACCTCGCCTAAATCAGTGCTGTTTTGTGTGGGTGTAACTACTCTCCTCCAAAGCTGCAGAAGAAAGCTGGCCAGGAGATAAGCTACAGCAAGATATGTTGGGTGTAGATACAAGGAAGAAGTCACACAATTGGACAGTGCCAGGCCAATTTACCTGGAAGGCTCACGAGGGATAACCACCTGTGGGGATTGCTTCTCAGGCTGTACATCTCAGAGATGGCTATAGGGATATGGTGACCACTTAATGACTTACATCATCTCAGGTGGGGGAGGGTCCGTGCCCCTCCAATATCCCTTGTCTTAGTGGCAGCCAGGCTGAGCATGTCACCACCTACATGACTTTTGGGGAAGGTAGAGGAGTGGAAAGATCCTCCACACTGGGGTTTTCCCAGCCCCCTGCTGTGCTACTGAGCTTTCCAGTGGGCGGAGAAGAGGCGGGTGTCCAACACAGAACAGCGACAAGGTAAAAGAGCCCCCCAAAAATGGTTTGATAAGGTCATGAAGATTTATAAGTACTAGTGACTCTATCACAAATGGCTGCCTGTCTGGGAAAGGGGACTTTTTAGACAGTATGTGGCAGGTGCTGAGGTTAGCAGGTTGGAGACTGGAGGCTTTCAGCTTGTGTGTCCAAGCTGCAGATTAACAGTTGTTAGGCTTGAGTGATTGGAGCTAAAAACCAGGCGTGATTCTCCTGTAACAGGAAGCATTCCTAGGAGGAGTATAGGCCGGGTTTATTATCTATCTCTACTAGAATATTATCAGAGATAACAAGCAGAAGATATAACAAGAGGGACTGAAGGAGATCTAACAAAATAGTTCTTATTCACGGGAACCCTGGGGAGTTTAGAAACTCTTTACAGCCCTACTAATACTGTTTCTCATAACTTCCCCTGGTCCCTGAAAGGGGGACGGAGCCCTGGGATTAAGCATCACATAGTGGCCCTGGGAATCAACATACTCATTTTTAGTTCAGGGTTTCTAATAGAGAATGACTTGTATTCTAATGGAGTTCTGGAGAGGAAGTTTGGTCCCAGCTTAGATCATGACTCATGGGTCCACCCTGGGCTCCAGTAAGTGAAAAAGATCAGACACTTATGGCCACTTGATAACTCACAACTCTTCTGCTTTCCACCTAAAAGACAAAACCAAAGTGGGTATTCCAGTACCCACGGTACTTTGTACCCTGCCCACACCCAAGCCCAATGCAGAAAGGCCTAAACCCAGATTCTGATAAGAAAGGGTGTAGACCATTGTGAAAGAAAAAGAGGGGAGAATTAAAATGAGCACATGAGGGAAAGAGTTGCATTCCCATGCAAACAGGACTGAAGAATTGAAGACATGGATTCACAGAACGAAGAAATCCACTCACCCTCACTCCCGTCTCCAGACCAAGCCATCTGCAAACCAGGGCAGGTAAATGGATGTTTCTTCATCCTGCTGTCTTTGTAGCCCATCCAGGTGAAACAATTTAGTGTCTCCCAACACTGAGAGCACACAGGATTACCCTTTTCCAAATGTATAACTTTAATATTTCCCATGGAACTTTACGAGCCTTCCATAAAACTCATTCAACTGTGAAAGTGGGCATAGAGAAGAAAAGGATGGAGAGAGAAAGAGGTTTTAGATGGTCTTCTTTCAGTATTTATTCAGCTGAAATTATTTATGGGAGAAGGGGGGTAAGAGAGGAGGGTAAAATAGTTACATTCATTCATTGGAATTTTTCTTCATATCATTTATCAAATAACATCCCCTTTTTCCCTGAAATAGATTGACCTCCTGCTTTAGACCATAGGAGACTCAGAATGCTCAAAGGCTATACTCAGGGGAATTTTTATTCTGAAGGTCTTCTCAACTGCAATGATATAGAAGAGAACTAGAAATTAGGAATGTATTTCCTATCTGTCAAGGAATGTGAGAGCATATCACAGGTTGGGGATGTGTGCTGGACGGGGTGCAGTCAACTTGGCTTGAGGTGGAGGTTGTCCTATCTACAGAGAAATGGCTGTCCTGGGATTTCCCACAGCCCTTTGCAATGGCGGTGATACGTGCCTATCTTGGCTGTAAATGCGGATAAGATGCAGAAGGTCTTGTGGGCCCCATCATGGAAACTCTGTTTCCTTCTTCTCTCCTCCCACGCTTGTTTTCACTCTCAGTCCCAGTTTACATGCCCTGCTTGGGTGTAGGCACAATACGGACAGAAGAGAAGAGAAATCTGTCTGATACGTGTTCCTGGGAGGAGGCCCAGAGTGGAAACCAGAGTGGCATGAGGAAGGCAGTGTGATGTAAAGGAAAAAGCATAGACCTGGGGCTCAGATCTTGTGAGTTTCAGTCCCATTTACATCCTTAATAGTCTATGTGATTTCAGAAAAACCTCCCCCTCTCTCTTCCTCTCCCTTTCTCTCTCTTCCCACTTTCTTTCCACCCCTCCTCCTTTCTCTTTTTCAAAATGACTGACCAGGATTAGATGATCTCTCGGATTCCTCTTGGCATAAAGTAAGAAGGAAAGAACTACTTACAGTTTATGTTTTATCTCTGCTCAACAGCAGCGTCCCTCTTTCCCCATCTGGATTTTACATCCACTACTGTATCCTGCTGCTCACTCCTTCTTCCTTCTTATTCCTGAAAGTGTTCTGACTTTAGTGAATGGTTTAGACTGAGAAAAAATTAACAATAATAATTGCTATCATTTATTAAGCACTTCCTTTATATTTCAGGGATTTAATATCCATTATCTAATACTGGCCCCCGGTAGGCCAGCAAGTTGTGTTATTACCTGTTTTACATATGAAGAAACTTAGGTTTAGAGGGGAAAGGTGATTGTACCAAGGCGCATATGCATTAAGTAGATAGAACTGTGATTCCAAACAAGGCTAACTCTGATCCCAAGGCCCTTGCTCTTTCTGCAGTTTTCCTTCTCAAGAGTTGGCCATCCTTACTGGACCCCTTAAAAATATCCCCATGAGACACCTGTAAGCAGAGCTGATATTTGGCAGGTACAAATTGGTAGACCATAATGATTGTTAAAATATTTCCATACCAATTTATGATAAGTATCAATTGCCCCAAGCCCACTGAGTGCCCATGACCAACCCCACAATCCCAGGTCTTCCCACAAGGTTCCCCAGACATATACCTGTACGACCCAGCTACAGGGCTGTGACTGGTGTCAACTCTGATTGGTCTGTGCTGCTCTATAACCATCCTTAAATGTTCTGAATGGCACAAAAATCCGGAAGCAATGTGGAATCCCAGGCAGACTTTTTCCTCTCAACTAGAACCTAGTTGGACCCTTGCTGCTGAACCACTCTGTGAGCCTGACAAAGGCAAAATTGCTTCACATAATCTAGTTGGGAGTTAGGAAGGAAAACTATGCTAATAACCAAACAAAGCAACACTTCCTTCACTAAGATTATCATAAAGCCAAGAGTAAATTAATTTTGGTTTATGCTGCCTCTTCTATACAAGGCTATACAGTGGAGAGTTCATGTAGCATGTGAAATGGAGAATTTACTGAAATAATTTCTCCTTTCTTTTATCTCAAATTATATGTGCCACTGATACTTGGGTGGAGATATTAGGTTATTTTCTTGTTCTATAATTAATGGAAAGACCATACAACTAGAGTCAGACCAACCTGAGTTTAATTCTCAACATTACAAGATCCTAATTATATGACCCTGGATAAGTCACATATGTCCCTGAGCTTCACATAACAATAGTTAGCTCAAAGGTGATTGTCAGGATTAAGTGAAATAGTTTACAGGAAGGTTTTATGGATAAATATACAGTACTCTGTACATCCCAGTTGTTTTAGCACCTATCACTTCGACTGGCCAGTGTTAATATATGGGGAATCTCTGACTACATCCCTTAGAACACAGACTGGAGGTATATGGTGTACTCAATGCAGTAATAATGACAGACCCATAAAGGTTTCCTCCTGCTACTACACTTGCCGCTTCTGCTGATGATTTGTGTTAGAAGATACTCCTTTCCAAGCTCGTAACTCCTGAATCTTCTTTTGACTAACTTCGATCCTGTCAGCTGAAATTTCTGCTTTGAACTATAACATCCTCAAAACAAAGAGAATTCCCTCCTGCTCTATTTGTTGTAGTCAGATTCCAGAACATTGGCCAGATTGTGGAGAAATATTTAGGGAGTGAACCTCTAGAGATATGTAGGAAAGAGGAAAGGACAAAGGACTGGAAATGAGAGCAGAAGGGAAAATAAGGCTTTTAAAGAGTGATTCAGGCAAATAGCAATAGAATCAGTGTGGAGTTTTTTGGGTTGAGGGGTGGGCAGTTAGTAGGAACATCGGAGAAAAAAATACCAGCAGCCTAGGACTTCCTTCCTCACAGGAGTTAGATTAAATATAATATCAAATACAATAGGTTAAATACAATAAACCAGCATCACAAAAGATAGTTCTCAGATTCCAGAAGGAACTTCTGACCAAGGAGTGGAAACTTCAAATGGAAAACTCTGAAAAAATATTTTTTAAATTTAAAGGATTTGATAGTTTAAGCTTTATAAAATTCAGTGTGGCCTCTATGTTTCGTCAACAAAAGATCAGCATGACTATGCCCCAAGCCTCTTTTCTCTTCACTACAAGGTATAAGAATACATATACATTCGGATTTGAGACCCTGTGGAGAGTCGGGAGCCCCTGTCCACGACATGTACTAAATGAGGATAGTTTTTCAGCACCTGTATGATTCTCGCTCCTCTGCAGGTACAGCATCTGCTGAGGCCCTCCTGCTGCAGGTACCCTGCTGGGTCCTGAGATGGGGCTCGGGGGAGGGGTTACAAGGAAGGGGGCATGGTGACCAGACTGGTGACAGCTTCCCTCTTGCCGCATGTGGTGTGAGTGTATGTGCTAGTTGTTAGAGGTGGGGAAGAGAAGAGATGACTTGGATAGGCCTTCAAAGTGTAGAAAGAATTTGTCTGGATAGAGGGGGAGGTGGATGAAACTGCATAAACTAAAGGAAAAGTAGCGAAAATGTTCAAACAGTGCTGGAGCTCAGTGAGCAATGCCTAACAGAATCACACTCCTTTGGGCTCCTTCTGGGCCTCCTCAATTCAAGACTCACCACTTTCCTAGTCCATGGAAGTTGGAAGTGCAGGCACCTCATAAATCAGTGTCGCTGTGGAAGGGACTCTGCCAAATGGGAAGTAACACCGGAGGCCACGGGACCATTTCCTAATGCTTCTGGGGAAAACCATGCAAAAGCATTTTCTTTCCCAGGTATTATTCATACAGATATTTCAAACTCAACTAGAATAAATTCAGATGCATTGGTACTGAAGGCAAATTTGTACAACATTGTCTCCTGCCAATTCATTTTCAAGAGGTTGAATCTGCTGCCCAAGGAGGAAACCTAACTAACTTGCCAGAGGTCAATGAATTGGACCAAAAGGTTAAAAGAATGCCCACATCTGGGGCACCTGGGTGGCTCAGTCAGTTGGGTGTTTGCCTTCAGCTCAGGTCATGATCCGGAGTCCCGGGATCAAGCCCGGTGTTGGGCTCCCTGCTTGGCAGGGAATCTGCTTTTCCCTGTGACACTTCCCCCTCTTGTGCTCTCTCTCTCTCTCAAACAAATAAATTTTTTTAAAAATCTTAAAAAAAATGAATGCTCACATCTACTCTGACTCCTAGTCACTACTCTTTTTGCTGCTTCCAACTCTGTTGTACATATAGGTTTACATGTTTGTATGACTCGTCTGAAGGAACTATGTCCAGGCCCCCCTCTCTATTACAAGGAGCCCCAAGACCTTCAAAGGTGCCATCTGCATGCACCCAACCTGCATGCACCCATCCTGCAATTCTTTCTAATGCTGTCACCGCTGATGGGCTTGCCTGATATCATTTGCCGCTTCCTCCAGATTCCCACAAATACCCAGTTTCTTATCTCTCAGCAACATAGCTTCCTCCTGCGATCTCTAACCAGACAGTTCTATTCCTCCCTCCCCCATAACATCACTGTGCTCCTCTTGTTCCCATATAACACCATGAACAGGTCTCTGTGGCAGAGATCAGGGAGAAATGAACTTGTTCAATTCCCTGGGCCCATGTCCAGTCTGCCAGAGTTGAGATTAGCTTAGATGTGCCTTGCATCTTTTCTTTGACTTCATGAAGAAGGTTTGCTAAGAGCTGGGCTTTGAAAAGTGCAGTGTGTCAAAGGCCGAGGGACAGGAAGATGGAGAGGGAAAAGAACATGAAAAAAGCATAAGGTTTAAAAGGGGATAAGCATTTTCAGGGGGCAAAGGGGAAATTAGCCTATATGTGTGCAACGTATTTTCAAAGATGTAGGACGAATGTAGAATAGATTCGTATCACAGAGGATGTCAAAACCCAAGTAGAGGTCTCTATCTACCATCTCAATTAGCAAGATTCTGGAACAGCACTAGGCATTATGGGGGTTCAGCTATAAAACGGCATATCCGGGAGTTAAAATACCAGAAGTACCAAATTTTAGGGCATAATGTTCCAGTTGAGAAACTGAGACCAGAGAAAGTAATCGAATTTTCCAAGGTTATACTGCTAGCAAGTGGCAGAGTAAAGTGCAGAAGTCACATCTTCCTTCTTTCCTTCTTTCCTCCTTTCTTTCTTTCCTTCCTTCCTGCCCTCCTTCCTTTCTTCCTTCATTCCCCCCTTTCTTCTTCCCCCTTCCCTTCTTCCTTCCCTCCTTTCTTCTTGCCCTCCTGCCTTCGTTTTAAATTCCCTTCATTACCAAAAAAGTCCTTCTTTGTGAGCTGAAGAGTTCTTATGATCTAGATGAGGTCCATTTACTCTGGGAATTAAAGACAGTAGGCAAGTCAGCCTTTGACATTTTCTTCTCTGGACCAACTGATACCAACCTACTCAATATTTTGAAGGTGTAGAACTAGGTAAATATACCCTGACCAAGGCTTTTTAGATTTCCTAAGTTCTTTCTAGTGGCAGCTTCATCCTCTTTTATCACCTCACAAGAGCTCTGACTGAAGGACAAGTTTTCTCTGCGTCCCCCCTTTGGGGTTTCCCTGCGTCACAAGCTGAATTTATTCATTTAATTGCTCTTAAAAGGCCCAGGCAGTGGACAAAGAGCCAGGTGCTTAGGGTTAACAACCTCTCTCCTTGGAGAAGACTGGGCGATGGGCTGGGCCCGAAGTGAAAGAATTTAGATCTGACAACAGTAACTAGATATCATTCTTCTCCGGATATGTTTTGTCTGTAGCAAGCAGAGGCATCCAAAACAATTTTATTGCCCTAGGAAGGTGCTTTAGGTTCAGGATGGTCCTTTCAAAAACAGCTATTTTAGGGCCTCCATGGTTCCATGCCTCCCTAATGATTTTATGTTGAAGTCTTTTAAAGAATAGAAGTTTCTGGACACTGGCACTCTTCTTATTTTTTTTCCTCTTGCTTTCCCTTACTGCAACAATTAAGAGCACCGCTATGAGGATGGAGCTGTTGACCGCAGCTCCAGGGAGCAGAGGGATGAGCCAGTGAAGAGCACTGGTCGGGCTCCTCCATGTCCACTGTAGCAGGCTGAGTGTGGCAGGTGAGGGAGAGGCAGGAGGACGGAGCATCAGCCGATGAATGTACATTAGCCTCAAGGCTTTTTAAGTCCTATTCGGACAACTGAGAGATTCTTCCCCTCTTTCTTCCTCTTTGAGTAAGTGGCTAGTGCCATCAGAACGTATCTTTTGGAAGAACACAGAGATGTTGAGCAGACAGTGTTAAATGAAATATACATGGCATCAATGAACTGAGGAGCTAACTCCTAGCTATGGAGAAACCCACATTGACAAAGTAGAAAGGAATGACCCTGAGGGTCGTGACTGCTCATTGAGTAAGGCAACATCTCCCTGTTGTTTGTATTATGGGATTTTTTTTTCCCAAGAGAAATCTTACGTGGACCCCTAATATATAAAACAAGAAACAAAACAAAACAAACAACAGACTCAGAATGACAGTAGTTGGAGTTATATCCTGGCTGTGGCACCTTGGAGAAGTTGTCTAACATTTGAGATCTGGGAATTCTTCATATATCTTTATGAAGACCAAATACAGTGAATTTTATCAATTGCTGATTTAAAGATATTCTAATTTTAGTGGGAGAGTCTGAGAGACAACATTCTTAAGGATTAAAGAAAGCTGTTTTCTAAGGCAATATGCCAGTCATTGTGAGAAGTAGCAATTCTTTAAGTTAGAAGAACTTTCTCAATGTCCCTTAAGTCATAAGATGTTTGAAGTTCCAAGATTCACTGATTTGAAACACTTGCCCTGGTATATGTCAGAGCATTGGGGGGGAGGGGTGCAGTGGTGGGGGGAGACAGAGGAAGGGCTGGACAACTACCCCCCCTTCCTGAATGGGCAGAGGGGTCATGCTCCTTCACTCAGAGCTGGGAAGATGTTGGGGCAGCCCTGGGGTGGTTTCTGAACAGAGGATGAGGGAGTTATCGCTGTATTTCAGCTCTCAGAGCAGCATTCCTGTGGCAGGAGACCCTGAAGTCTGAACCGGGGCCATGGAGGGCTCTGTGCTGAGCCCCACATCCTGGGAGAAGCGGCGGGCCTGGCTCCGGCAGAGCCGCCACTGGCAGACCCAGGTCCTGGAGGAGGAGGCCGCAGCTGCCCTGCAAGATGTCTCAGATCCTGAGCCTGCCAGCCTGGATGATGTTTTCCAGGAAGGTAAGAAGCAGTTAGACAGCAGACAGCCTTGCACGTGGCCTCATGCCAGGGGAAAGGTACCAGCAGCCACAGGTCTGCAGAGTGTCTGGAGCCAGTCGCTTGTTGAGACTGGGCCTTCAGGGAGGCTCATTTTGATGGATTCAATGCATTTAAAGGAAGAAGAGTAAAGTAATAAAAAATATAAATTATGGGAGAGAGAGAGATAGGCATAAGATTAGGAATAATAAAGCACATTTTTGCATCATCCCAAGAAGCTGTCTATAAGGGCCTGAGGTCAGGGTTCTCTTGAATGCTTTAGAGTGTTTTTATTTTGTCTGGGCAACAAAGTGATGCTCAGTTTGGATACCTGGACTCTGGCTGCAACTCTGCTGCTAGCAAGTGGTGTGACCTTTGGTAAGTCACTTAGTCCATATTTGTCTAATGGAAGTGGTGGTACCTGAAGTCGTAGTAGTACTTTTCCTCCATGCCTCTCAGAGTTTCTTTGAGGTTCGAATGAGACTGCAAATGTAAAAGTTAAAGAAAACAAAAACAAAGCAAAAACAAAAAAAAACCCTCATATAAATAAACCCATCTTTGCTTATGTAGCAAAAAACAAAAGCATGAACCCAAGATTGTGATTTTTTGTTGGTTTTTTTCTTCTTTTTATTTATTTTTTATTTTATTTTAAGGAGAAAGATCCACCCCTGTTCCCAAACCTTGGGGAGAAGGGAGCAGTGGGCCTGTGATCCTGGGCATTTTCCAGGTTCTGGGAGGAAGGGAGCGGGAGGCAGAGAGAGAAGCAGCAGCCACTATTTTTATATTTTATATATTATATTTTATATTTTTATTTTTATAGGAATACACGGGTGTATTCCTCTCCTATCTCAAAGAAAAGTTTTATGGGGGGGGAAAGTCTTAGGAAGTGGCTCACACAAGGATACACTTGCAGAAGGAGGTGGGTTGCAGAGAGGAAGTCTGACCTCCTTCAGCTCTCACGGTGCTCTGACCTCTGACATTTCCAGGGAATCCAGTCAACAAGATTGAAGACTGGCTGCAGGATTGTGGGTAAGTGCTGGAAGGCCCTGGCAATGACTGTGGCAGATGTGTGGATACACTTGCAGGCACTGACTCTTGGGAACTCAGAGGCGGGGAAACGGGTTTGATTTGGGCCTAACGATTAGAAGTGAGGTTGAAATGGTGGGGGGTCGTGGGGGGCAGATTATAAAGGTTTGGGGTGAGTGTTACCTGTAACTGGGCCTGGGCTGTAAATGAAGTTTACTCTGGGCTGAGACAAAATTCGGGTGGGGGTCTGGAAATCCAGTCTGGATGTGGTCGAAAGCCCAGAATGATAGAAATGCGCAGCTCCAGAGACTGTCTGGGCTGAGTTGCAGATTCCTATTCTTTTGCTTCTCCTTCAGACTGGAGTCTTACACTGTGTAACAAAAGAGGAGTTAGAAACCTCATTGTTCCTATGATCACAGGAATTCATCACTGTGTTTATTTCTACTACAGAACACAGGATGATGGGCTAAGGGTTTACCCAGTTATTCAAAGCAGTGAAGAACAGGAGCAGGTACTTGAAGGCAAAATGCAGTATCTGCCTCCTCAGAAACACTAAAATAGGAGTTTTACTATTTACCCACACCCCATCAGTACCATTTTAGGCTCAGTCTACCCAGACACAGAGGGAAAGTTTCTGTGCCCTATTTAAGCCTGATCATTTGTGTGATAATTCTGAGAATTTATAACTCCTGCCTGCTCCTTTTTTCCCCTCCAGGAATGTTCCAGACTTTATATAGCCTTTAATCTGAACTCATCCATTAACGCATAAATAAACCCATCCTTGCTTATTTGGTAGGAAATAAATAGCACTGAATGATCTAGGGCTGTTTATTTCAACTCTGCCCCAGAAGGTAATGCCAGGAAGGATTTATTCTGTGTTTTTGTGGGTTTGCAAAACATACTGTCCTTATTGTCCTGACCCAGTTCACAATTCATTGACTTCACAGTCCGTGAAGGGTCCTCAAAGTTCAGGAAGGCAAGGGATGGTGGTAATAGGATTGTTTGCACATTTTGGTGTGTCACAACTGTCCTAGGATTTGGAATGCCTCACCTGGTATCTACAGGAGAACCAGTAAGCTCAGTTAATGTCTTTATGTCATTAACTACTCTTGAATCAGTTTACATCACTAATTGTTGACAGCACATTTGCTGATGTCTGATTGTCTAAATGGCTTAGAAGGGGGCCAAGGAGTTTAAAATATGTTCCTCGCCTTCAAACATACTACATTCTAGCTGAAAAGAATAAATTCACAGGAATATAAGACTGTAAACTCCAGAGATTACCTTTCCCCACCTATATTCCACAGAGATAAACCCAAAACTTGTGCTGAAAAAGTGGTCTGGTGAGTCAAAAGGCTCAAAGAGTTGAGCCTACACTTGTGCTAACTATCCATGTAAGCACTTGTCAGAAAAAAACCAAAACTCCTTCTATCTCAGACTCCTCGCCAAAAGGTGGAGACTTAGAATAATAATGTTTCAAAGTTTCTTGTGAGATTTAAATGAGATAACATATGCACAAGTGTTCTCTGCCCTGTAGTAAAACGTGAGCGGTGAGGTTTGTAAAGGAGAGGCTTTGTGCTACTTTAAAATAGTTCTGCCTATAGACTTAGCATCTATCTGTCTAAATCTCGTTATTTCTCAGAAAATATGTCCAGAAGTGATACACACCAACTCTATGATAGTGATTATCTCTAGGAAGGAAAAAAGTAGGAAGGAATGGGAATAAAATGAAACTTTAGTTATATTTTTAATATTATATTTATATTTTTATTAACAGAGATCAGAAATGAACATGATGAAACATTTACATGTGTGAAAACAGGGTGGCAAGGGCAAGGGTGTCTGTCACATTTTCTTTCCCTTTCTATGTGTTGAAAAAATGTTAATATTTACACTTTGAAAAGCCCACAGGAAAGTCTCTTAACACACATTTGTCTCTGCAGGGGGAATTTAGGTTCATAAAATATTTCCAATTTTCTCTATTTTCTAATCCTCCCTAATATATATGTGATACTTTTTAGTTATATGGGAAAATTAGAAAAATTAAAGGCTGATGATGGTTGATAGTAGCGAGAGAACACTAGATTGTGATAATAGACAATGAAGAAGAGGAGGGAAAGGCATTCCAGATATGCCATTCTGAGTCACACAGTGTTCAGTTCTTAGGCTGTCAAGGCCACAGAGGAAAGAAGATGAACAGGGAACCTACATTCACTGGACATCTGTCCACTCTGTTGACAGGTGCCTGGGATGTGCTTTTCAAATTTTACTTCAAGACTGTATAGTTCCCATTTTCTTTCCAATGCCAAACAGACGTCCTCCAATAGCAAGACAGTTTTGTTTTCTGACAAGCTCTCCAAGAAAGCCCACCAACTTCCTGGGTGATTGAGAGTCAGTGTCTCTCAGTGTATTGAATCTAGGGGCAGACCATTCTGCTGCAGGTCAAGATGATGTACATCTTTACTTGTCCTTTCCTCTTAAGGCTCTCAGGGGAGGTTCTAGGACATGAATGTGTTGCTTGTGAATGATTGGAGGTAGGGTTAGGAGCCCCAAAATCTTCTGTGTGGACCTTAGTTTAAATCTCTGCAGGCAAAACCTTTGGAAATTGCTGGAAAAGCTAAAAATAGTCACATCCTTCCCACAATCTGATCCTCCTTCCTACTTTTGTTTATGAATTGGGTATACAGGAGGAGTGGTACCTTGGCTCTTCTATTTCAGACTTGAAATGATGCTAAGGGATCTTTCAGTGGAAGACAGAGAGGGAGGAGCAACTATAGATCTAGTCCCTAGTCATCAATTTTATGTCCTAAGCAATTACCTATGAAAGGCCTGGGACTTGGGCGATGGCTATGAAGTTTTAAATCAACTTCAGTTCGATCAGTAGATCCAGGCGCATGTCCATACTTCTATGGTAGATTCCACACACACCCTACTGTCCCAAGGCTCATCCTGGGCTGGTCCTCAAATAGAGAACATGTACTTACCTGCTAGGGCACAACTAGAGAAGAGAAATGTAGGAAGAACACCCAACAAAATTTGTATCTAGTGAATAGTACTGAGTTTTGTCTGGACAAACCAGAAATTTTATCAGAGGTATCTTTTTTTAATTTCAGAAGGAAGCTTTCTTTTATGTTTTTTAAAAATTTATTTAGTTATTTGAGAGAGAGGGAGAGCATGGGCAGGGGGAGGGGCTGAGAGAGAGGGAGAATCTCAAGCAAATCTCTCGCTGAGCACAGAGCTGAAACTGGGGCTCAACCTCAGACCCTTAGATCATGGCCTGAGCCGAAATCAAGAGTCGGATGCTTAACTGCCTGAATCACCCATGTGCCCCATCAGTGGTATTTTTTTAATGTAAATTTTATTGAAGTATAACATATGTATCAATAGCATTTTTCTTTTTAATATAACTGTAGTACAACTCAACAGGTAGGAGTTTCAGCTATGCTGGGTGAGTGGGTTCTAGAGATCTGTACAACATGGTACCTGTGGTTAACAGTGCAGTATTGTGCACTTCAAAATTTGTTGAGGGTAGCTCTCATGTTAAATGTTCTTACCTCAGGAAAAACAAAAAGTCAAAGGGAAGCAAGGAGATTCTGGGAGATGTTGGATATGTCTGTTACCTTAACTGGTAATGATATCATGGGTGTTTGCATATGTCTAATCTCTTAACACGGTATACATTCAATATGTACACTTCTTTGTATGTCAGTTATACCTCAACAGAGCTGTTAAAATAATAGCCATGTAAGTTATACTGAAAAATAAAATACTTACTGAAAAATAAACAAGTATTAAATATAAAGCCCCATGAATTTTCTCAAAGAGAATACATAAACCCCTGAAACTTGAAACAGAACATTACCAGCACTCCAGAAGTCTCCTTCTGGAAGGTCTCCTTCCATTCACTACCCTGCTTCCAAGGATAACCAATAACCTGACTTATAACATCATAGAAAAATTTTGTACTTTTTAAACTTGCTATAAATAGAATCATACAATATGTGCTGTTGTATTTTTTCATTTTAATTTTTTATTGAAGTATACTTGACTACAATATTTTATTGGTTTCAGATGTACAACATAGTGATTCAACAATTGTATACATTATGAAATGCTCACCATGATGGGTATAGTCACTATCTGTTACCACACCAAGTTTTTACAATATTATTGACTAAAGTACCGATGCTGTACTTTTCATCCCCATGACTTATGTATTTTATAACTGGAAGTTAGTACCTCTTTCAATATGTAGTGTTTTATGTCTGTTTCTTTCACTCAGCATTATGTTTGTGATGTTCGTCATGTTTTTGCATGCAGTGACAAGTCATTCTTTTTTATTGTTGTGATGCAGTAAATTATTTATCATATAATTTATCCATTTTACAACAGAGATTTGGTGTCTCCCAGTTCTGGGTTATTATGAATATTATTTCTTTTGGTGAATAAATACAGGCATTTCCATTGAGTGCAGACAGTGGAATACTAGTGAGTTTTAGTTGTAGTTACAATAACAGTCAGCTTTGGCCCTTGCATTAATGTGTAGCTGCAGCCAAGTATTAAATACAAGAGTAAATCTCAGTATTCTAATAGTTGACTATATAAGTTATGGTGTTATTTTTGGAGTAACAGTAAATATAAATTTATACTGATATTTGTAATGGTATATAGACTAACATTTATGTTTGTGATATTATCTTAAAATACATTTTTATGTAATTATGTTAGGAAAAGCAGCCATATTTGTAGTTCTAGTTATATTATTACAGTTACCCATTCTTAGTCAGCTTGGATATTGTTTCACGTTTTATAATGTACCTTGATGTACAGGTTTTTTTCGCAAAGACATAAAAATGCAGATTTTGGAAAATGGTTGATTTTTCACTACTGAAAGGAAAGCATCAATAGAAGATGTCTAGGGGCGCCTGGGTGGCTCAGATGGTTGAGCGTCTGCCTTCGGCTCAGGTCATGATCCCAGGGTCCTGGGATCGAGCCCTGCATCGGGCTCCCTGCTCAGTGGGGAGCCTGCTTCTCCCCCTCCCTCTGCTTCTCCCCCTGCTCATGTTCTCTCTCTCTCTCTCTCTTTGTATCTCTGTGTCTCAAATGAATAAATAAAAAATCTTTTAAAAAAATAGAAGATGTCTACACATGCAGTGATTTGTCTTGTAAAACTTAAACACAGCTTGATCTACAGATGTTCAATTAGCAAACCCATTGCTATTATTAAACATTTCATTGAGTGATTACATACTGAGATTACATTCAAAGCATCATGTGCAACTTCCCTTTTAAAAACTTTCAGGAAAATTAACTCTATAAAACCCACAACACATTAGTCCTTGAAGTGGACTTAGATAATGATCATAGCGAGGCATCCAAGTCCCCTACGTAATATTTGAGAACAGAACAGCAACCAGGAAGCAAGAATGCAAGCCAGGTGCTGTGGTTCCAGTTCAACACTTTTCATAGACTGCTTTACTCACCTGCTTTAGACACAGAATTTTTCCTTGTTTGTAAAACTGAGTTGTTTCTTGCCACCCTGTAGGCTGATTTCAGTCTATTCCTCTTGTGGAGATGGTAAAAGTTTGATAAGACCCGATCTTAAAATGTAAAATTACAATCTGTAACCAAGATGCCGTTTCTGCTGCTTCTTGAGAGATATGATCATCAGCAAGGACCTGCTCAGAGATAAGGAAGAAGGTGTGGGGAGCTAAGCTGACCTCCTAGAAGTTGAAAAATATCAATATTTGTATCTGTGATGATCCCAAGCCCCTGCTTATATAAATGTATTTCTCTGATTTTGTTTCTATATTCTGTCTTTCCAACTTTACCAAGCACGTGTAGACTTGTTGCTCACCAAGCTGACTATGGACAGTGTGGTCAGTACAATGGCAGCCCACTCAACAGTGCATACACACGTACGAAAAACACGGTACGGTGCAGCACAAAATCCTGTGTGCTCCAGTCCCACTTCCCCTGGCTACTTCGGTGAACTTGTCAAGTAACTACTCTTAGTTTGCTTCAATGTAAAAGCAATTAAATACTGCTGAATCTCATTGGAAAATTGTGTGAACTTGTGGGACACATTTGAGGAAAAAGCCCCTTGGAAAATATAATTATTTCCACCTGTAAGATTATTTTTGGTCCTCAGATACTCTGAAGAAGGGTTTTTTGAGGAAACAGGACAGTCAAGCTACAATGGTGAGTACAGCTCTGTTCTTTCTTCTGTTGTTCTTCTACCTGAATAGTGACATGGCTCTGTGTGTGTGTGTATGTTTATGTACATGCACATGCATATGCAGGCATAAGAATGTTGACTACCTTTTCACTGTCTGCAAAACACCTACTGGTGGTCACATGGCAGTCCAGGAGGTCCAAAAGATGGAGTAAACATTGGCTCAGAGCTGACAGGCTAACACTCAAAGACTATCTTCTGTTAGTGGTTGCTCAGCTAACAATGACTGCTATGGGAAAAGAGCTTTATAAGATGTGTGTGAGTACACACCCCCATGTGCTCACTATGTGACAGAGGATTGTGTCCAAGACTAATGATATAGGGGAAAGGTTAATTACAAGTGATTATGTCTTTCTAAATCAAAATATGAATGTGATTTCTGAGGTAGTACATGTAGAGCTGGGGGAAGTTCTGCAAACATGATGTCTGATGTGATTATGTGGTTATAAATGTTCATATATACAGGGGTGTGTGTGTGTGTGTGTGAGTGCAAGCCTATTCTCTGTGACCTTTGCTTTATTTGACAGGGTGCCTCAGCCATGGAACCAGCTTTGAAGATGACTTGACCCTAGGAGCAGAGGGTAAGTGGCACAGCCTTCTGATGTTGGAATCAAGGAAGAGGCTATACAGGAGATGAATTAAGAGTAGAATGAAAGAGGGAAACTGTAGAAGGAGGCAACCCATTTCCTGACGTCTTACCTGTAGGGAAAGAGCAGTCTCGTTATGATCTAATGTAAAGCTCATAAAGCTTCATGTGCCCAGAAATACTTCCTCACCAGCCTGACATGACATCCACCAGTCCATCATTAGGGCTCTCATTTGTCCCCTGGAAAGACAACACATAAAATCACCATAACACTGGTTGCTCAGACATCTTTGAAACTGTTGTCTGTATAGGAAACCCAAAGCAGCCTGAACACTGGGTATAAGCAGGAGACCACACTGAAGGAAAGAAGAGCTTGAATAAAGGATGGAGATATAGAAACCTAACAATGTCTCCTGGGTCCTGTGGAGACTCAAGCAGTGGGGCAGGAACACTAGCCTAGAGGGCTGAATGATGTTCTCTTCCTCAGGAGAGAGAAACTCTTGCCTCAACACCAGTCATGGTGTATAAGTTCAGAGGCTCAGGACCACTTGCTCCCTGCCATATCTGCCCCCCTTCCCGGTCTATGTCTGATGAACTTTAGATACTCCCACAAAGAACAGAGTTCATGGGGTTCAGCTAGCCTATAGTAGGGTGTATATAGTATATAGTGGCAGAGGGGAGTGAAGGGGGCTAAGTGTTACATTCAGAGAAGCAGCTTAGGTGATTTTCATTTTCCCTTCTAACTTTCTCTTTGCCTTTTTGTTCCTTGTCCAGCCACACTGTTGGCCACCAATGGCAAAGTCTTCTCCAGGTAAGTGTTAGGTTCACCCAGACTGAATGATGTCTTCTTCAGGAACTACTGAACTGGTATAGGTGTCAGAGACAGATGAAAAATAAAGAGCTCAAGAGTCACAAGAGAGAGTGAGATTTTCCAACCAGGAATGAGGTCCTAGACTGAGTTTTCCCAGTAGATGATAGAAGGTACCCAGCAGGGAGTAAATAACCCCAGCAGAACATGTCTTGGATCCAGGGTGCAGACTGCTTACAAGCTTAGGGTAACATCAACTCTGATCCCTGCAGGAGTTTCCTAGACCCATCCCGGCCCTGGCAACTCCTCGATCTTGGCTGCAGCTTGGCTTCCAGCAGCATGACTGGTGGCACCAACAAGACTAGCTCAAGGTAGGTACTGGATTTGGCAAGGGTGTAAGGGTGGGGAAGAGGAGAGGCCCAAGAGAATGGAACCAAGAACCACTGTCCATTTTTTTCTGGGATATCTTACTGAAGGTTTTATACACTCACATACTTGAGAAGTATGACCATATTTGCTTCAAGAGCACTGGGGGAGGTGGAGGAATCTACTGCTCAGAGCTGAATGCTCTGTAAAATAGAGGTGACCTTGTACCCCAGCAGGTGTAGCATGAGGATCATCACAGTCCCTGGAGTTACAGTAAGTGCTCAATCAACCAATCAATGAAGGTATTGATTGGTTGATTGAATGAAACAATAAAATATTAATTCACTAGGGCAATTTCAAATCCCCTAATGCAGGCCAGGTGTTACTATGTGGAATTGGAAAAGATGAAGCAAAGTGCTTGCCCCCAGGAGTTCAACAATCAAATAGGGTGAACAAAGGCATATGCAAATAACTTTAAAACAAGATGGAAAGTGATGAAAACTAATGTGGTATAATAAAAAGTATTTGAAATTCAGTGTCAAGGTTTGAATTTGAGACCCAGTCCTCAGATTTATTAGCCATGTAACTAACTATCTGTAGTGATTTGTCCTTACTGAGCCGCAGCCCTGGCCACACCCCCCTTCAATTATGTCAGAATCTCTGGAGATGAGACTCAATATCTGCATGTTTTTATTGCAATACACTTAACATACAAAGTTATATTCATTTCAGGTGCACAACATAGTGATTCCACAATTGTATACATTATGCTGTGTTCACCACGATAAAGGTAGTCACCATCTGTCACATATAATGTTATTACAGTAGTACTGACTATATCCCCTATCCTGCACTTTTCATCCCCATGACTTATTTCTGTGGAATGGGTAGTTATTGAGCTCTCGTGTCACCCAGCTTGGTGGTACACAGATTTGGATGTAGATACATGTGAGTACCATACCAAGAGAGAGAGACAGAGAGAACTTGATCTTCTGTAATGCAGGGCTTCTGTCCTGAAAATAGTGCTACAAAGGGGTCAACCTTTCAAAATCAGGTTTTGAACATACCTACACTGGTTAATTTTTTTTAATTTTTTATTGTTATGTTAGTCACCATACATCATCATTAGTTTTTGATGTAGTGTTCCAATATTCATTGTTTGTGCATAACACCCAGCGCTCCACGCAGAATGTGCCCTCTTTAATACCCATCACCAGGCCAACCCATCCCCCCACCCTCCTCCCCTCTAGAACCCTCAGTTTGTTTTTCAGAGTTCATCGTCTCTCATGGTTCGTCTCCCCCTCCGACTAACTCCCCTTCATTCTTCCCCTCCTGCTATCTTCTTCTTTTTCTTTTTTCTTAACATATGTTGCATTATTTGTTTCAGAAGTACAGATCTGTAATTCAACAGTCTTGCACAATTCACAGTGCTCACTATAGCACATACCCTCCCCAATGTCTATCACCCAGCCACCCCGTCCCTCCCACCCCCCCACCACTCCAGCAATCCTCAGTTTGTTTCCTGAGATTAAGAATTTCTCATATCAGTGAGGTCATATGATACATGTCTTTCTCTGATTGACTTATTTCACTTAGCATAACACCCTCCAGTTCCATCCACGTCCTTGCAAATGGCAAGATCTCATTCGTTTTGATGGCTGCATAATATTCCATTGTGTATATATACCACCTCTTCTTTATCCATTCATCTGTAGATGGACATCTTGGCTCTTTCCACAGTTTGGCTATTGTGGACATTGCTGCTATAAACATTGGGGTGCACCTACCCCTTCGGATCCCTACATTTGTATCTTTGTGGTAAATACCCAGTAGTGAATTGCTGGATCATATGGTAGCTCTATTTTCAACTTTTTGAGGAACCTCCACACTGTTTTCCAGAGTGGTTGCACCAGCTTGCATTCCCACCAACAGTGTAGGAGGGTTCCCCTTTCTCCGCATCCTCGCCAACATCTGTCGTTTCCTGACATTAATTTTAGCCATTCTGACGGGTGTGAGGTGGTATCTCATTGAGGTTTTGATTTGGATTTCCCTGATGCCAAGCGATGTTGAGCACTTTTTCAAGTGCCTGTTGGCCATTTGGATGTCTTCTTTGGAAAAATGTCTGTTCATGTCTTCTGCCCATTTCTTGATTGGATCATTTGTTCTTTGGGTGTTGAGTTTGATAAGTTCTTTATAGATTTTGGATACTAGCCCTTTATCTGATATGTCATTTGCAAATATCTTCTCCCATTCTGTCGGTTGTCTTTTGGTTTTGTGGACTGTTTCTTTTGCTGTGCAAAAGCTTTTTATCTTGATGAAGTCCCAATAGTTCATTTTTGCCCTTGCTTCCCTTGCCTTTGGCGATGTTTCTAGGAAGAAGTTGCTGTGGCTGAGGTTGAAGAGGTTGCTGCCTGTGTTCTCCTTTAGGATTTTGATGGACTCCTGTCTCACGTTTAGGTCTTTCAACCATTTGGAGTCTATTTTTGTGTGTGGTGTAAGCAAATGGTCCAGTTTCATTCTTCTGCATGTGGCTGTCCAATGTTCCCAACACCATTTGTTGAAGAGACTGTCTTTTTTCCATTGGACATTCTTTCCTGCTTTGTCAAAGATTAGTTGACCATAGAGTTGAGGGTCCATTTCTGGTTTCTCTTTTCTGTTCCATTGATCTATGTGTCTGTTTTTGTGCCAGTACCATACTGCCTTGATGATGACAGCTTTGTAATAGAGCTGGAAGTCCAGAATTGTGATGCTGCCAGCTTTCCTTTTCTTTTTCAACATTCCTCGGGCTATTCAGGGTCTTTTCTGGTTCCATAGAAATTTTAGGATTATTTGTTCCATTTCTTTGAAAAAAGTGGGTGGTATTTGATGGGGATTGCATTGAATGTGTAGATTGCTCTAGGTAGCATTGACATCTTCACAATGTTTGTTCTTCCAATCCAGGAGCATGGAACGTTTTTCCATTTCTTTGTGTCTTCTTCAATTTCTTTCATGAGTATTTTATAGTTTTCTGAGTACAGATTCTTTGCCTCTTTGGTTAAATTTATTCCTAGGTATCTTATGGTTTTGGGTGCAATTGTAAACGGGGTCGACTGCTTAATTTCTCTCTCTTCTGTCTTGTTGTTGGTGTATAAGAATGCCACTGATTTCTGTGCATTGATTTTATATCCTGCCACTTTACTGAATTCTTGTATGAGTTCTAGCAGTTTTGGGGTGGAGTCTTTTGGGTTTTCCACATACAGTATCATATCATCTGCAAAGAGTGAAAGTTTGACCTCCTCTTTGACGATTTGGATGCCTTTGATTTCTTTTTGTTGTCTGATTGCTGTGGCTAGGACTTCGAATACTATGTTGAATAGCAGTGGTGATAATGGACATCGCTGCCGCGTTCCTGACCTTAGGGGGAAAGCTCTCAGCTTTTCCCCATTGAGAATGATATTCGCCATAGGTGTTTCATAGATGGCTTTTATGATATTGAGATATGTACCCTCTATCCCTATACTCTGAAGAGTTTTGATCAAGAAAGGATGCTGTACTTTGTCAAATGCTTTTTCTGCATCTATTGAGAGGATCCTATGATTCTTGTTCTTTCTTTTGTTAATATATTGTATCACGTTGATTGATTTGCGGATGTTAACCAACCTTGCAGCCCAGGGATAAATCCCACTTGGTCATGGTGAATAATCCTTTTAATGTACTGTTGGATCCTATTGGCTAGTATTTAGGTGAGAATTTTTGCATCCATGTTCACCAAGGATATTGGTCTGTAATTCTCCTTTTTGATGGGGTCTTTGTCTGGTTTGGGGATCAAGGTAATGGTGGCCTCATAAAATGAGCTTGGAACTTTTCCTTTTTTTTTTTCCATTTCTATTTTTTGGAACAGTTTCAGGAGAATAGGTATTGATTCTTCTTTAAATATTTGGTAGAATTCCCCTGGGAAGCCATCTGGCCCTGGGCTTTTGTTTTCTGGGAGAATTTTGATGACTGCTTCAATTTCCTTAGTGGTTATAGGTCTGTTCAGGTTTTCTATTTCTTCCTGGTTCCATTTTGGTAGTTGATACATCTCTAGGAATGCATCCATTTCTTCCAGGTTATCTAATTTGCTGGCATACAGTTGCTCATAATATGTTCTTATAATTGTTTGTATGTCTTTGGTGTTGGTTGTGATCTCTCCTCTTTCATTCATGATTTTGTTGATTTGGGTCATTTCTCTTTTCTTTTTGATGAGTCCGGCCGGGGGTTTATCAATCTTGTTAATTCTTTCCAAGAACCAGCTCCTAGTTTCATTGATCTCTTCTACTGTCTTTTGGTTTGTATTTCATTGATTTCTGCTCTGCTCTTTATTATTTCTCTTCTCCTGCTGGGTTTAGGCTTTCTTTGCTGTTTTTTCTCCAGCTCCTTTAGGTGTAGGGTTAGGTTGTGTATTTGAGACCTTTCTTGTTTCTTGAGAAAGGCTTGTATTGCTTTATACTTTCCTCTTAGGACTGCCTTTGCTGTATCCCAAAGATTTTGAACAGTTGTGTTTTCATTTTCATTGGTACCAAACTCCCTCTTTTCAGCATCTCTGAGATTCTGGACAAGGTGCAAGAAGATGCAGAGGATGTCCTCTTCAGTCTGGGCTTTGGCCAAGAGGACCACAAGGACACTTCACGGATTCCTGCCCGATTTTTCACCACCCCGTCTCAGGCCAAAGGCATTGATTTCCAGCTCTTCCTGAAGGCCCAGGTGCAGAGGATAGAGATGGAGGACCCTTGCCTCATGCTGGCCAGTGAGTGTTCCCATGGATCTGCTCCACTTCTCTGCCATTCACGACAGGGATCAGTGGCTCCAGATCCTACTTTCTCTCTGTCAATTTCACTCCACCCTTTGTCTCCTGTGTCTATTTCCTGACATGTTGTTTTCAGTGAAAATGGAGAACTTTGATGTATGCTTCTCCCTCTTAAAGAAATAGTCACCAAGAGACCTCATTTCACTATTGCTTTCTTAGGCCTTCTCTCCTTTAGCTGAATCAAATGAGAACAGTGTCTTTAAGTCTTATCCCTGTTCTTATTTCTCAGTTGGAACAATAGAATGTTCCCCATTTACAGCCACTGTATTTTTGTTTGTTTTTGTACAGCCACTGTATTAAAATCATTTCCTTTTAGGGCAATGTTCTCAAAGTTCTCAAAGTTAGATATGTTAAATTGTCCAGAGACTTTATAAAAATTCATATTCATAGGCTTTTATTCCATAGAGGGAAAGGCTCAGGAGTATTTATTTTAAACAAGCACACAGGATTCTTATGTATAATCCTTAGACCACATCCAGGGAAACAATTATTTAAGTTGTCCTGATTTCATACTAAGGAAAGATATGAGAGGATTTCTCTAGCTAGATGAGGCATAAAAGACTCTCTTTGATTCTATACATTAGAATATGTTTCAAATTATATTCTCTACACCCCCAGTATGATTGTATTTCAGATTCTGTGCATCAGATTCAACTTAAGATAAGCTTGATAAACCATGCTCCCGAGCTCTACCTGCTGCAACAAAGATTTTGAGTTGGAATATTTTCACAACATTAGATGATTCTTATGCACACTAAAGTTAGAGTATAATTGATTGATTTTATTTTATGTGCCATGAACATAACTAGGTGTTAAATTCTGGAAGAACAGACTAGACATGAGAAACATGATTCTTAAGCCTTTGGGAAGCTTACAGTTTAAGAGATGTATGGCTTATCACAGTGCTTTTCAAACATGGATGTCCATATGAATTACCAAATGATATTGTTAAAGTGCTTGAGATACAGTCTGAGATTCTACATTTATAACAAGTTCCCAAGTAGTGCCAATGCTTCTCAACTAGTGACCACACTTTGTGAAGAAAGGTCTAACTGAATGATAAAGTCATGAGTGCGAGCCCCACATTGAGCATAGAGTTTACTTTTAAAAAAATGACATCAAAATTTCTGTACCCTAGTCCATTGGCTAGTAATTGCCATTTTTCCAATTTGTTGATACTCTGAAGCCTTCTAGAACCCTAAAGTTTTGTTACTGTCTAAGAAAATGAGGTTGGTTTTGTCCTTTTTTCTGTCATGTTTGTCATCTAAAGCAAACAGTAATCGAAGCCATTGTTTAGAATATACTGACAGCAGAAAGGATATGTGAAATCAAGATATAGAAAAGTTCTTCATCCCATATAGAATTAATTTTTGGGCTGAAGGAAAATATCATTTGGGATGGGAGTCAAGAAGTGAAGAAAGTCAAGAAAGGGGATCCTGGGTGTGAGAAATCTAAATGGGAGAAACACTGGTGGGGAAAATGGCATCTTCCTTCTGAATTTTGAGCCTTAGGAAGGCTATTGAAGGAAGAGATACAAGAGATAATTTGCTGATGACCCCCAGATTCACCATCTTCAACTCTTGTGCCCAGGCAGGTTTAAGCAGGTGCAAACACTGGCTGTCACTGCTGATGCCTTCTTCTGTCTCTACTCCTATGTGTCTAAGACACCTGTCCAAAAGTTCACACCCTCCCACATGTTCTGGAATTACAACCCAACTGATGTGCCATCCATCAGGATTCTGGCTCCAGAACCTGAACCTCACTCACCCAGAGAGCGCCTCCGGAAAGCCATCTCCAAGATGTGCCTGTATACAAGCCCCAGAGATCGGCTGTCACCATCCCATAATATCCCCAAAAGGAACAGTTTGGACCAAGTGGTGTGGGAAGTGATGGACAGAGTGAGAGGAGAGAAGGTGGTCTTCCAGCAAGACCCTGGGTTTGGGCCAGGCTCAGAGGAAGATCCTGTGCCACTCATCAGGGATGCAAAGCTGCCCACTTCTTCTGGCCCATGTGCCCTTTGCCCCAAAGAGGAAACACAGCAGGAGTTGTCCCCAGTGCAAGCACCATCACAAACTCTGGATCCTAAACCAGAGGCAACCTGTTGCATGCATTCTCTGCCTGGAGCAGGTCTGCAGTGGAGCACAGACCCTGCACCTGTGAAGAGAGAGCTGTGGGGTCTACAAGCCACCAATAAGGAAGTCCATTTGGCCAAGGATGAGACTTTCTGGAAAAGAAAGAGCAGAGCAAGAAAAAGCTTGTTTCAGAGGAATCCCATGAGCAGGACGGTTAAGTCATTGAAACTGTCCATCACCCAGCAGAGCCAAGAGCAACCAGCACTGCACCAATCTCTAACCCAGCAGCTGCAGGACACTTGTGACTTAGAGGAGGTGAGAGGGTTGGAGGCAAGAGAGAGGCTGGCAGAGAAAGGTTATGGATTCTTGCCTTTCAGAAAAGGGAATCCAGGCTCTCTGTCCTCACCAGATATACCAATTCTTGAATTACATTCAGAAACCTTTGGGGATAGGTTAATAGAGAGGGAGAAACATAAATGGGTTTGATTTCTTAAGATCATCCAGGTTTTCAGAGCTTTTCTAATTCCTCATCTGATCTGATTTTCATTGAGGTTCCTCATCAAGCACACCTTGCTCTATTATTTGTGGGATCCACAACAGAGTACAAATAGAGGTTGGTTATACACTAAGTTAAACACTATTAAATAAAATATGCTCTCTTCTACCTTAATAAATATATAACCATAAAGACCTGGAAGTCCAGGTTCAAAGTTAGTATTCTCAGATTCTTAGGACTTCTGTGCTAGAACATGGCAGTGTAGGCAGAGCCACTCCCCAGCTGTGGCCTAGCCCCTTCTTTTCCCATGCCCAGATCTGTCCTAAACCATTAGGGACTTTGCACATAGATGTGTGAGCACCCAGCCTGCATATCCAAAAGCCACACACCCTCTACCCGCACAAAAGCCACCTACTGGTCATCACTCATGCCTGGGGCTGCATACAGTAGTAGAGAGGTTGACCCTTTAAGACAACAGACACCAGGCAAAACCAGGGCAATTCCCTGAGACAGACTTGGGGGGCATCTGAACAGCATATTCGTGTATCCTATGTAACCAGAGCATGTTCTAGACGGAGTAGTGCAGGATCCAGGTGGGCACGTCCTGTCGGTCCACCAACTCTTCATCCTGTGCACTCTCAAGAACTCAAGACTCCTCTTGCCTGGGACTAGTGACAATACTACCATCAAGTGCTGAGCTCTCTTGGGAAAACTCTCAGATCCTTGCCACAAGAGAACCTGTGATGATTTGCAATATTGTTTGCATATATGTCACCTCTCATTGGACATAGACCTGCACCTCAACTCCTGCCTTCCTCACTACCGCATTCCTGCCACAAGAGAAGAAGCCGAGTCTCTCAAGTACACTCAGCCTCTTCCCCCTATGGCTACCTGCCATCCAACACCTCTCTGCACTGGCTCTGAGTTCTGCTGGGATCTTGGTTACAGGTGCAAAGCCAGAGTGAGGAGGAAGAGAGCTGCTGGCCCAACAGTCCCAGACACCCCCACCTATATCAGACTTTTGCTGGCAAAGACTGGAGAAGTGGGTCTCTCTCTCTCCTTTCTTTCTCTCTCCCTCCTGCCCTCCCTCAGGCAGTGAGTCTTAAACCTGGCTACATGTTATAATTACCCAGGAAGATTTTTTTTTTAAATACTCACAACAAAGGGTCCCACATCCTGTGATTCTTATTTCATTGATAAGGCATGGAAATCAGTGCCTGATTTTTTTTGTTTTTAAGCTCCTCAGATGATTCTATTATGGCTGATTAGATACTTCTCTAGATCAGTGGTTCTCAGACTTTAGCCTCACCTGGAGGGCTTGCTAAAATGCAAATATCTGGGCCCCAAATCCCAGAGTTCCTGATTGAGAAGCTCTGGGCAGGGCCCAAGAAGCTGCCTTTCTAACAGATTCCCAGGTGATGCTGATGCTGCTGGTCTGGCAACCGTCTGAGAACTGTTCTAGGGTTCTAGAAATGTATAACCTTACTATTCAAACTGTAGTCTGCAGGCCAGCAGCATTAGCATCACTTGGGATTTTGTTAGTAATGTGGAATCTCAGACCCCACCTCATATTTAAGGTATCACAATTTTATCAAGATCCTAAGGTGATTTGTTTGCATGTTGAAGTTTGAGAAGTGCACTGCTATAGTTGTTTTAACAGGTGAGAACCAACCATAAAGAGCTTCATCCCGGCTCCTCCTCATAACTACATTCTAATCCGCCAACATCACCACATGGGGAAGACTCCAGGTATCTCAGAGCCATGCTCCTTTAGGCTCTGAGTTCCTTCTTGCAGTGAGGACCTGACATCCATAGCTCTCCTTCCCTGACAAGGGAACTCACATAGGTGGTTACTGCAGCTAAAATGTCGGATTTCCTTTTGATATGAGCTTTGAGCATTAACTGTATCAGAGGTATCCCTTATACCTTTGAATGTTTTGGCTAAAGATTTGTTATTTAAACTAAGTATAAATGAGGCTCCTATAGTTTTTACCACCTATCCCCTAGTACCACAGAGAAGATGGCATCAGGAATGAATGAATGAATGAATGAATGAATGAATAAATAAATAAATAAATAAATAAATAAATAAATAAATAAAAACAAATATTCTAAGGTAGTAGAAATTGATATCCTTCTTGAATCAAGTCAATGAGTCTTGCTTAGAGTTCCCTCTGTTTTGAATGTCTTAGTTTATTGCACTTCCTGGCCCAAAAGTTATTTTGAGTCAATACTCTAAATTTGCAATGTTAATTGTCCAGCATCACAAAATCTTTATACTTCTAGCTCTTTTAATTTTAATTCTCTATGATTTTAGGGCCCTAGTCACTCTTCTTTCTCTCTTGCTCATTACTTTCATCTCCAGGGATATAAATTATGTGTATACAGTAGTCACTCACAAAAGAGGTAAATATCAGAAGGCAGCAATATAATATATTGAATATATATATATATTTGGGAAAAGTTTAGGATATGGAGTCAAATGACCGACACTATACTAATTCTGTGATTTTGCAAAATTCACTTGACTTTAATTTTATCCTACATAATAGGAGATGTAGAGTTTCAACACCTTACAGGGAGTGTGTGAAAGTAATATAACATGTTAGAATAATAATGGATGTTGCTGCAGCTGCTGCTGATTTTTAAAAAGGTAATCATGGGCATAAAATATTTAGATCAGTGATTCTCAATCCTACAAGATTTTCTTGAATTGCTCTTTTCTGGACTCCACTCAATAGACTTAAATACAAATCTCTAAGGTTTGGACTTGGGCATCATTGTTTCTTCTCTTAAAACTTTCCTATTGCTGCATAACAAACCACCCAAAATGCAGTGGTATAAAGAAAACCTTGTTTCTTTTTTGTCACTATTTTGTGGGTTTACTGGAAGGTTCTTCTGCTTGTCTCACCTGGGTTCCCTTATACAGCTGTTTTTGGCTATTTGGCTGGCCTGGACTGAAAGGTCAAAAATGGACTCCCCCGCATGTCTGGAACATTGGTGATGAGCAGCAGGGGGCTCCCTCTCCATGTGTTGTGTCATTCCTTGGCAGCCTGGCTTGTCTTATGTGGATGGTCAGCAAAAACTAAAACTGCAATGCTTCCTTTTAAAGATGTGTGGCAAGTTTCATAATGTCCCCCCTACCACATTACTGGTTAAATCAAGTCACAAGGCCAATCGAGATTCAAAGGGAAGGAAAACAGACTATGTTTTAACAGAGTGGCAAGGTCACAGTGCAAAAAGCCATGTTGAATGGAAGGGTTGTTGTGCCATCTTTATAAACAGTCCATCACATTGACTCCGGTGCACCATGAGGGTGAAGAATAACTGCTTTAATCAAAGGACTTTACCCTCGCATATTAAAGATGCACTGAGGGTAAGCTTTCATGCTACAGCTCATTCAGACTCAGCCACAGTGTCTGAATTTGAAAAGGAAATTAACCGGTAGGCTTATCAAATTAAAATAGAAAATGTGGAATATGTCCCTACAGCTAGGTTTCTTTGCCAATAACTTAATTTACTCTAAAATGCTAAGCTTTGCTCAAGTGTTATTTGTCCAGCAGATGTCAGCCTCGCACAAGAATATGCCAAGATATCCACCAAGGCAGGCTGGGTGCAGGACCTATCAGGTTATACTTTTCGGGGCAATACCTGCAATATCCAGGACACCAGTTCCCCTCACACAACTGCCCCACCTTTGGCCAACTGTCAGTGTACAGAAATATTAGAACTGAATTGCCAGGGAGAAAGTATTGCTAGGAGCTATATATTTCAGATAAGGAACTAGATTCCATTTTCTGCCAGGGTTATGGTATCTCAGCACAGCACAAGAGATTGTGGTTAGAGATGGATCACTACATCAAAAATTAATGATACAAAAATTAATGTATTGTATGGTGACTAAGATAACATAATAAAATTAAATTTGGAAAAAGAAATGCTGTATGTCACTTATTCTAAGGCACGAATTTTTCCACATTTTAATATCTCTGAGATAGAAAGGGTCTTAACATTGGCAATGTCAGCCAAGGTCTCTAATTTTTTTCCTCCTTAGTGAAATATAAAATAATTGAGTCTTGCAAAAGATGACTTATCAGATTCAATGAAACAGTAACTTTAAGAAATTAAATGTACTTATTCTCTCAGGTAAATGAGGAAATGATTTCACAGATTTCCCTTCTGTGATTCCCTAGAAGACTAAGAGATCTCTTCTTCACTGACATGGTCTTTGGCTGAGATGGGGTCACAGTGGTTCCCAAATCTTTCAGATGTTCCATACATTAGTTTAATCATCTTTTCACAAAGCTATGAATTATCTCTCTCAATCTACTCCTCTATCACCCTTTAAGAGATCACAAGAAAGGGGGAATACCTATGAAAGCACCTCAGGACCACCAAGATTAAAAGTTATGTGATAGGGCACCTGTGTGGCTCACTCATTAAGCATCTGCCTTCGGCTCAGGTCATGATCCCAGGGTCCTGGGATCGAGCCCCGCATTGGGCTCCCTGCTCCGTGTGAAGCCTGCTTCTCCCTCTCCCTCTCCCACTCCCCCTGCTTGTGTTCCCTCTCTCTCTGTCTCTCTCTGTCAAATAAATAAATAAAATCTTTAGAAAAATAAAAAAATAGAAGTTATGTGATAAATATGGAAGGGGGAAATTCACTCACTATCATCAAAGGCAGAGCAAGCTGGGGCAGTTCCTCAGATCGACTGGGAAACAAGTCCTCTCTGCCTCCTCCAGGGTCTATAATTATCTCCCAGGGATTAACGACCTCCCAGGAGCTCTGTAGCAAGTCCCAGTCTTCACCGGGGACTTGTCACCAGGCATGAGAGGGATGTGAGCATGAGTAGGAAGGGGTAACAGCCCCCAACCAGCCATAGGGTCCAGTTGTGTAGTCCTCACGTTGCACAAAGACTCTCAAAGAGACAAAGGGGGTTGAAATTCAGCTATGCTGTGCCTACCATCCAAAATCTCAAGGGTCTTCATCTTCTAAGAGGGAGTTCCTTTTTTTTTTTTCTAACTCATCTACATAAGGTGAGTGCCTTTCTGTGGTTAACACAACGGAACCTTCTCTTAAAAGAGGATCTTGTCGAATCAATAGTGGAGCAAGATGGCAGAGGAGTAGGAGACCTAGATTTCGTCTGGTCTCAGGAATTCAGCTGAATAGGGATCAAACCATTCGGAACACCTACGAACTCAACAGAAGACCAAAGAAGAGAGTAGCAACAACTCTCTGAACAGAAAAGTGACCACTTTCTGGAAGGTAGGACGTGCGGAGAAGTGAATCGAGGCGATATTCGGGAGGATAGACGGCGGGGGAGGGGCCTCCGCCGGCCGCTTCTGGCAAGTGCTAGAGCCGCGGAGCACAAAATCGGACCTTTTAGAAGTTGGCTCCGTGGAGGGACGCCGCTGCAGTGGCTAAGCGGGGGGTGGAATCCTCCCGGGACAGTGTGGTCTCAGGACCCTTGGGGTCACAGAAAGACCGGGGGTGCCTGAGTGCGTGAGAGCTCCCAGGTATCAGAGCGGGGAAGCCGGCTGCAGAGACGGAGCTGAGTCGCGGGCTCTCAGCTCGGGGTTGCCATAAACTGTGATCTGTGGCCCAGTCGGGGCACGGCTCCTCCAGCAGGGACCCAGCAGGCGGCAGATCCGAGGAGACTCCCCTTCCTTCCCGGGGAGGAGCGGTGCGGGAACGCACTGCAGGGATCTGCTGGGTTTGGAGACTCTGTGCGGGGTCGGGTGCCAGAGATAGCAACGCTCGGTCACAGGCCGGGTGAGCACGGAGTGCGGCCAGAGACCGGGGACACGGAAGTGACTGCTTTTCTCTGGGGGCACACTGAGGAGCGGGGCCCCGAGTTCTCAGCTCCTCCGGGTGGAGATTGGGAGGCCACCATTTCTGCCCTGGTCCTCCAAGGCTGTACGGAGAGCTTGCAGGGAACAAAAACTCCTGAGAGCAAACCGGAGCAGCTTCCTTAGCCCGGACCCACAAGGGCGGGGCAATTCCGCCTCCGGCAAAGACATTTGGAAACCACAGCAACAGGCCCCTCCCCCAGAAGATCAGCACAAACAGCCAGCAAGCCAAGACCAAGTTGATCGATCAAGGAGAACGGGAGAACTCCAGCGCTAGGGGAATACTGCACATAGAATTCATGGCCTTTTTTTTTTTTTTTTTTTTTTTTACCATGATTCATTATTTCATCAAAGTTAATTTTTGTTGACTGTTTTTTTTTATTTTTCTTTTTCCCTTTTTTAACCAACATCTTATCAATCCCTTTTAAAAAAAAAACATTTTTCATTTTTCATTTTTAGAGTCATATTTTATCCCTTCATAGTAGTTACCCTTATTTTTGGCATATATATAAGTTGTTCTCTCTTTAAAATTTTGAGGTACAGTTTCTTCTAACAGATCAAAATATACCCTAAATCACTAGTGTATGGCTTTGTTCTAGTCTCCTGCCTGATCACATTCTCTCCCTTTTTCCTTTTCTTAAATCTTCTTTCTTTTTTCAAACAACTTATCTTACCAAGTCCTTTTATAAAACCTTTTATAATTTTCATCTTTACAGTCATCTTCCATCCCTTCATTGTATCAACCCTTATTTTGTACATATATGTCTTTCTTCCTTTAAAATTTTAGGAGGCACTTTTTCTAACAGACCAAAATACGCCCAAAATCTAGTGTGTGGCACTGATCTATGCACTAGCCTGATCATATTTGATCATATTCTGCTTTTTTTGTATTGTTTTGTTTTTGTTTTTATCTTTTTTTTTCTTTTTTCTCTTTCTTTTTTCTTTCTTGCCCTTTCTTTTCCCCTGGTTTCAGGTCTTTTCTGATTTGTATAAGTATATTTGCTGGGGACGTTGTAAACCTGTTAGCATTTCGTTCTCTCATTCATCTATTCTCCTCTGGACAAAATGACAAGACGAAAGAAATCACCTCAGCAAAAAGAACAAGAGGTAGTACCTTCAGCCAGGGACCTACTCAATATAGACATTAGTATGATGTCGGACCTAGAGTTCAGAATCATGACTTTAAAGATACTAGCTGGGCTTGAAAAAAGCGTGGAAGTTATTAGAGAAACCCTTTCTGGAGAAATAAAAGAACTAAAATCTAACCAAATCGAAATCAAAAAGGCTATTGATGAGGTGCAATCAAAAATGGGGGCACTAACTGCTAGGATAAATGAGGCAGAAGAGAGAATCAGCGATATAGAAGACCAAATGATGGAAAATAAAGAGGCTGAGAAAAAGAGAGAGAAACAACTACAGGATCACGAGGGCAGAATTCGAGAGATAAGTGATACGATAAGACGAAACAACATTAGAATAATTGGGATCCCAGAAGAAGAAGAAGAGAGAGAGAGGGGGGCAGAAGGTATATTGGAGCAAATTATAGCAGAAAACTTCCCTAATGTGAGGAAGGAAACAGGCATTAAAATCCAGGAGGCACAGAGAACCCCTCTCAAAATCAATAAAAATAG